AGCCTTCTAATCAGTGAGGTAGTAGTAATCCCGATATATGAGTCATGTTGACGTGCACAGCCGTCAAAGGGGCAATTAAATTCATATATTACGTGATTACGCTTTATTATTACGATCACGTAATATATGAATTTAATTGTGAGAAAAATCGAAAAAACGAGCTACAAACATATTAACGCCAAACATTCGGTAAAATTTATAGAATATTGTAAAAATTATGGTCTATTACCAACATATATATATATATATATGTATATATATATATATATATATATTATTCACTTATATAATGTCATTAAGTTTTAATACATGGATGTTTATATAATTTCAGTCTTGCTCTCTTCCTTTCATCCTATTTGTGTGTGTGTGTATATATGTGTTAATATATATATATATATTTATGAAATATATATGTTCCTATATACATATATATATATAATATAAAGGTTTGTATGAAATAATCCGTTGTATGAATACGCATTTTAATGATGTTTCAAAAGATTGATTGATTTATTTATTTCTAAAGATATGTGTTATACTTTTTATATTCCATAAGGTATATATATATATATATATATCTGTATATATATATATATATATATATATGTGGGTGTGTGTGTTTGTTATATATATATATATATATATATATATATATATATATGTTTTCGTGCTTAGTCTTTTACATCATGATTTTCCCATGGAATCGTACGACGGCACACACACACGCACACACATACATAATGGTAATAATATTGATCATAATAATAATTATTATTATTATCATAATAATAATTACGATACTTTTTATTTCCGGCGCGTAAAATAGCGTTCTAGAATTTTTCGCATTCATACATAATTATATATAACTATAATTATGTTATATGTATGTTCGTCTGCACATATGTGTAATGTCTATATGTATGTGTATATTATACATATGTTCAAATGTGTATATTATATATATATACATTATATATATATATATATATGTGTGTGTGTGCGTGTGGATGTGTGTATTTTTTGATTGTTATCTCCATATCTTAAACGTGTACAACTTTTATCGTTACATCTCTGTATTTTCAAGTTTTCAGTTTTTTAAATTTATTTACATATATATATATATATATATATATATATATATATAAGTATAAATATGAGTAATTTTTATTTACATTATAATAAAAAGATCTAAAAGTTATTGATAAGATTTTTTTTACAGGAGTTGCCCGTGTTGAGTTCTCCCAAATGAAAGTACATAGTCGCTTGAAACGTTAAAGGGAATGTACTTATCTTCATTGTAGCTAGCTACCATTTCTCGGTGCCACCTAGATAACGCTTGCTGAGTTTTAAATACAAAGTGTAAGTTTTTAAGCTCCTGGTTGAACTGCCTTTGAATATGTAATTGCTAAAAAAGATGACAACTAATGAATGGGGACTGCGGATTTCGACTGAAATTCGAGGTACATTTTTGAAATTTGTAATTTTTAACAACCCATCGTGCAAATGTGCTGTCTTAATACACCTAAACATGAGTACAACTTTTTAAATATTCGTAAATTTTGAATCAAACGTCATTTTAAAGTTATAAAATATCGGGAACGAATAAGTTTTTCTTTAACTTACTAGAAGCAGGTTATTTCCATCCATGCTACAATTTTAATTTACAAACAACAAATTGATAAGATAAAAATTTGTATAAGGTTTACAATATTTCTACAAAAATGTGGAAATAAATAGTTAAAATACGTTTTGAAAAGCATTTAAAAGATTGATATACGTACTTGTATGTATGTAGTCATGTTAAAATAAAAAATTATAAGAAGTAATCACAGAGGAATGATTTGCTGAATGAATGAACGAACGAATGAAATTACCAAATAATGATCAATCGAGTGAACGAATTAACAACGAATGATTGGTTCTGAAGAGGATATGCAACAAGAGCGCACAGATCACTTTTAAAAAAGTTTAACCTGTGTCTCTGAGGAGCAAGAGCATAAAGGTTACATTAAATAGCAAGTACGACCTCAAAATTCAATCACACCATCGTACTGCCAGTGTACTCTCAGAATATATGTAAGTAATTAAGTAACGTAAGTAAGAAATACAAACAAAAATATAAATCATGTCATTGTTACTAATAACAAGATGTGATAATTATTATCATATAAAAACGATCACAAATGCATCGATAAAAGGGTATCCCTCGCCATTCAATTAGCTTTGGCTAAAGAGCAACTTTAACGATAATGATATGATAACACCAACGCAATTTTTCAATGAATATAATAAAAATCTTAACTACATTAAAATCTCTTAACAGATGGCAGAAGAACTGGACCCCGCAATGAAACAACAAGTAGCAAGCTCACTTAGGCTGGTAGATAGCCGTAGCAATGGCAAAATAGGCACCAGTTGGATTAACGAATTTAGTAAAACTCTGCCTGGGTTTGAAGACGCCCTCGTATATATTCTCAAAAATTTCTGTGACATTGTACGCAACGACAGCCGGTGCATTGGAAAGTAATTCTTTCACTTTCTGGTTTGTGTTCTCCTTCAGCCAGAATTGCTCTGTATACTGGATGTTTATTTTATGAGGCATCAGATGAAAAATTAAACTCTCGATTTTGAATTTTCAAAAATGCTAAAACGTGATTATGACAACGGATAATGCAAACAATGAATTACCCTATAAGTATTTACATAATTCACATAATCATCTCAGAAATATGGGAGCCTACCTGGGTGAGGCTGAGGGTTATTTTGGTGGGGACGCCGGTGTTCCTGTTGACGAATGCAAACGCATAACTGCCGGCCGGTAAAATCGGTTTCGACCATATCTCTACGTTGCCAATCTTGAATGAAAAAAATTTAAAAAAATCATTTAAGCAACTGAATTCTTCTAATCATCGTAGCATAAACTAATTAATAAGGATAAGATCTGTTGGAAAACAATTACAAAAAGACAGCAATCTAACCATGTTAACTCTTCTTCCTTGGACTCCTAGCTCGTCTTGATTGACAGCAATGGCCATCTTATTCAAGAGCAAATCTTTTGAACTCTTCCTAATTTTCCTCAAATCGTTTGAAATCATCAGAGGAGCTGCCAGGATGCACCACACGGCCATCTGCACTCTCTCCTGGTCTGGACTCAGTCCAAAGTTACCGATGATTAACTGGAGTGTTGGAGGAAAATTATTAAATTATTATAAAAAATTATTAAAGAGAAATAATAATTATAGAGATGATTAACTAAAGTGTGGAAGAAAAATTAGGAGATAATAATTGTGGAAGTGAAGAAATGATATTTGCAATTATAAACATATTCACTGTCAGAAAAAAAAATAGAATACAAAATGAAATATAAGAAGCATCATAAAAATAATAATTTCGTAGGTAAATTTCGTAAATAACTACAATAAAACAATAATTCATTCATAAATCTTTTCAATTCTTTCCCTAATTGCTCTAACCATATCGGGATCATTGAAGTAGCCGGGGCCTGCAACTGCTGCAAAATCACCATTATTCTCTCCATAGAATTTGATGATACTCAGCAAACTATCCCAACTGTCGTCGATGTCGTCAAAATTTCTTGACAAATGGCAGACCTGCGCCTGTGCTGTGTAGTTAGGCTGGAAAGAGGAATAGTTTGAATTATTATTAATAATACAATAATTAAAATATTATAATAAAACCACAACTACTTTCATATGCAAAATATTTGATGTATTGAAGCTTTTTGATAAATATATATAATATAACACATAATTTTAAAAGGCAATATATATATATATATATATATATATAACCTTCTGGAATGACTTTTCATAAAGAGCGTATTCGCAACTCAAAACGATCTGCCTGCCCGTCATATTCAAGAAAAAGTTCATGTTTGGATAACCTTAGAAGATTTAAGATAAAAAATTATTGAAAACAGTGAGATAATTCATAAGCATTGAAAATTTTTTACAATCATTATAAAGGTTGTAAGAATATACAACAGCATGGCAATATGAATAGAAATAAAGAAGAGATGGCTGACCAAATTGATATTGTGATGGGTGGTAGTTGCAGCCATCAAACTTTAAATAATCTACAGTCCAGTCAGCAAATGTTTGTGCATCGAGTTGAAAGTAATGCTCACTGCCCGGGTAGCCTGCGCAAGTCTTTGCCCCGACATCTTCGTACAAGCCAAATTTCAAACCTTTAGAGTGAATCTGTGCCAGTTAGGAAAAAGTTTATGCTATTTATTTTGAAATTTAAAATTGAAATAAATGTGACTTTCCCTATCAATTTAAACCTTAACTTTACATGATCAAATAAATATATTACATTATGCTATATTATATAAAAATAAATTTATAATTGAACAAAATAATATAATAAAAAAAGAAATTTTTAAATGATAATATAAGTGACAAACATAATCAGCAAGAGGCTTCATTCCTTGAGGGAATCTTGCAGCATCTGGCTGAAGTCTTCCTTTCACATCCCTGGTTTTTGCCAGCCAACAATCATCAACAATGACATGGTTGTAGCCCGCCTTTACAAAACCATCAGCCGCCAAATGATCAGCCATTTGTCTGAGAAGTTTGTCACTGCAAGAAAAATGAAAAGAAAAATGATTAAAACAAATTAAGGCATTAATGTTGCACAGACATAATATTTAATTTATCAATATCTTTTATCTTTTTAACTAGTTTGTAAATGCCCTAACAGACCTAATGCAATCATCCGGATAAGCACTACAGTCAGTGGTGCATCTGAATCGTTCCCATGACAACCAACCCATTGGTGGAGTTCGTACTTGGCCGTCTTGAATTGACGAGATACTGGACAACGAGATCAACGTTACGAACGACGAAAACAAAATCACCTGATAGTTAGCAAAATAAATGAACATTACCATTACAGATTACATTACCTTGAATGAAGGCATGAACATTACCATTACAGCACTACACTACTATGATTTTAAACAAGTCATTCATAATGCTAATTTAATAAATAACACAACGCGGATCAATTTATTTTTTCAACCAAAATAGACAAACAAATCCAAACGATCAAAAAAAAAGTTAAAAACCAACGTTCATGATTCCGACGGATTCTTGCTTGGAAGACAATCTCTGAGATCAAAACTAATATCTATCGCAAGTGAGGATTTACCATTAAAAGTAGATTGACATATGACTCAAACACATGATTTAATTTTGTAGCACTTCACTTCGTCACGCGCTATCGAAACGTTCATTCAACAAACCGAAGCTTTAAAAACCTCCCAAACTGAATCAAACAGAACGAATCTATTTTTTTCTGTAATAAATACATATATAAAATAATAAATTTCAACGAAATATAGAAAACCAGCATGGAATAAATTAATGAGATGGTAGAAGCAGGGCGTATGCAAAAAGTTAACAACAGCATTAACATGCCAAACTTTATCTCATCATTCATTCAAAGCACATCAACTCGTTCACTCCACAAACAAAGTCAACAATTTGCAACGAAAAACGATTCAAAAATCCGATTCAGTGTTATTTGCGAGTTTCAAAAAAGCGAATTTGACGTTCGAAAATTTGAATGAAACATTGTTTGTAATGTGAGATAACAGGAATCGTTTCAACAATTCGCTTTACAATTTTGTAACCTACTACCTATCCTAATTATTGTTATAATAATTAAATAAGTAGTTTTCGAAGTTTAAGAAATCTGTACAAAACCGTTTACAAATAATATAAAAAAATTTATATTAGAAGTTTCAAGCTGGCATCGTTTTCGTTTAAGTTTAAAACTAACAGAGGTAACTGTTTTATCGCGTATGCGATTATAAATCGATATTCTTGTTTCGGTATTTCAGTCTATTTCGATTCCTAATCCGCTAGTCGACAAAAGCCACAGAATGTCCGTTCCCCAACAGTATCGTTTCGAGCAACACGGCAGTCAGGTACTTCATGTCAGAGGAGACAGTGATTCAGATCTGGAAGCTCTTTTTAGCGTTCTACACAATAAAGACACCGCGAAATCAACAACCAGTTCCTACAAAAACAGGAAACTTCCGGCATCATTCTTTCGGCCTCCGGAGCCGAGAAATAATTTCCAACAATTTCCTCTTCTACAGCAACAGGATCAATCTCCAGTTGGCAGTAATCCGAACTGTCGATCATTTTACGGATGTTTAGTTGGATCGCACGGCCGATCTATATCGTCCCCGGCTCAACTGCCCAACAACTCCATCATCCAAATGCACCAACAGTGCCAATTAGCGAACAAAGTGGAAGGAATTCCCCAACTTGTTATGGACGACTTTACGACGACAACATGGAACAAAAACCAAAGATTCTATATCGGGTAATGACCATATTAATTAATCACTTTTGAATTAAAAACTTTTTATAGCGCTTACGAAAAACTACTTTATTTTTGATAAATACGTGTTTATTATAGAATTTTTTTTCTAGATTTACAGCTACAACTAAATACGTGTCTATACTTATTAATTATACTCATATTAATTGTTAAATTAATGCTTTCAACGAAATCTATATAAATGGCGTATTATACAATTTTAGACTTTAGCGCCATTGTAATTGCCAGCCATAAACCATACAATACACAATAACAATTTATCAGGATAGGCGCACACACACACATACACGCACGCACACACATACAAACAAACAAACACACACAAACAAACACACAGAGATTATTTAACCTTAATCACAATTGCAATTCTCTCTGCTGCTTATCTTAATATAAAAGTTAGCATTAGAACTGTTGTTATTTTTTGTGTCTATTATTCTTATTCTTCATCTTATTATTCTTTTTATTATTGCCACATTTTCGTGTAGAGATTGTAGAAAATCCATCCACCAATGCATTCACCGTTAATTGTAATAACTCGTGTCGGAACAACATATAATAAAAGTAATTAAATAAGTAATAAAAAAAAGTAATAAAAGTAATAAAAAATAATTGTAATAAAAGTATTGAAAATAATAATAGTTTTTATGATATTTTTAGCAGCGGCTCAACAACACAATGGCAGCAAGCACAAGAAAACAACAACGCCACCAAGCATCATCATCATCATCATCATCCTCCCAGTAACAATCATCATCATCATCATCATCATCATTCTCAGCCTTTTCATCAACATCATCAACAACAACAGCAACATTTTCAACAGCTGCAGCAACAATATTTCTTGCAACAACAACAACAATTACACCAATGCCAACAACAACAACAAAATTCGTTTGATTACTTCACATCCTCATGTTCCTCTCAGTCTCATCAACATTTTGACTATTTACTACATCAGCAAAAACCGCATCAGCTACAGCAACAGCCGCAAGATTTTTGCTGGGAGAATAATGTATTTTCTGATGACGATGTTTTTCAAACGGCCAGGAACAACAACAACATCAACCAAAACAACACGCCGGTCAACAAGAACTGTTAGTTTCTAATCTAAGCGTTTTATTGTACAGTGGTTTTAACACATGTCCAGTTAGGGATAATTCCGAAAAATGCAAGACAAAACCAGTTGCTTGTCGTCAGTTACTTTCGGGTCTGCAAATTTTGTTATAGGCACAAAAGACCCAGCAGTCGCTGGTCTAACAATTTGGAAGAACCTACCTCCTCACAATCTGCCTCAACCAGATATCAACATTGGATGAATTTCGTCTCAAACTCCGAGCTCATCAAGCAACGCTTTTTAGAGCTATTAATATGGCGCTATATAAATTTTCCAATAATAATAATAGACGCACACACGCACACACACACATACATACATACATACATACATACATACATACATACATACATACATACATACATACATACATACATACATACGGCATGCAGATAACAACACTGACACACTTCTTCATATTCAGGTAGACAACAACATCAACAGCTGATGTTCAACGCTGCATCAATAAACCATCCACTGAACAATACTACTACACACTCACAACAACAACATCAACAACAACAACATCAACAACAACATCAACAACGACATCAACAACAAAATTTCTCAGACAATGGCCAATATATATGCTTTGAGTTGCACAAACTTCAGAAAATTAAAGAAAAATTGTATCAGGAACAACAAGCTTTAACTTGCAGAGTAGTAACCGTAGTAGTAGTACAGTAGTAGTAGTAGTACAGTAGTAGTAGTAGTAGTAGTAGTAGTAGTAGTAGTAGTAATATAGTAGTAGTAGTAGTAGAAGTAGTAGTAGTAGTAGTAGTAGTAGTAGTAGTAGTAGTAGTAGTAGTAGTAGTAGTAGTAGTAGTAAGCAATAGTAATAGTGGGCGGTGCGATTGTGTAACGGTAAAGTGCCTGGCTGTGTGTTTGTCTTTTGCCGCAGTTGTAAATTAGAAATAGTAAAATTATTAGTCGTTGGTGTTGTTGCTAATTTGTATAGCGTTTAATTTTCTTACAGGAAATAATGTTATCGGAACTGGTCCACCAGCAAACAACAACAGCAACAACACCCAACAATAACAACAACAACAACAATCAAATTGATCAACAGCAACCACATCAACAGAAAAAACAACTGTCTTGCAACATCCAACAACAACAACTAAAACAGTATCAGCATCAGCAGCTTTTAAGACCGCAACATCTCCATAACCAGCTAAAACATCAGCAACTTCAATTGCAGCAACAACACATTTACACCAATCAACAAATGCAGTTCGATCCGTGTGCTCAACAACAACAACAACAACAACAACAACAACAACAACAACATCAACAAACTACGACTAGCGTTAGCGACATGCATGTCAGGCAAAGCAGCGCTGACAGTGGATTGGGTGATTTTATTGTTATTTAATTCATCAATTCATTCATTCATCAATTCATTCATTAATTCATATATTTATTCAATCATTCATTAATTTCTCCATTCATTCATTCATCTACTCCTCAATCAATCCACTAATTTCAGGAGGTATGGGTACGGCTTATAGTTTGCCAAGAAGCCCTGAGGAATATCTTAGCAATCTCGACGAAGTTGATGCAATAGATGAAGGTGATGCTGTCGTTATTGATGTTGTTGTTGATGTTGTTGTAGTTGATGTTTTTGTTGATGTTGATGTTGTTGTTGATGTTGTTGTTGATGTTGTAGTTGATGTTGTTGTTGTTGTTGATGTTGTTGTTGATGTTGTAGTTGATGTTGTTGTTGATGTTGTTGTTGATGTTGACGTTTATTAGGTTGTAATTCCATTCAAGATAATGTTAACCTTCAAAAATTTTCAATTGGTTTATCTGAACCTTGTATGCATGTACGTACATCTATGAGTATATATGTATGTACAACTGTATGTATGTATGTGTTTGTATGTATGTATGTGTGTGTGTGTATGTATGTACGTACGTACATACGTACGTATGTATGTATGCCATCATGCGTATATTAATTATGTAAATGTGTATGTATCCATTTTTCCTGTAGTATATTATAGAGGGATAATCAATCAACAAATCATTTATTATATATGTATATATGTGTTTCTGTTTCTCTCTCTCTCTCTCTCTCTTTCTCTCTCTCTCTCTCTCTTTCTTTCTCTCTCTCTCTCTTTCTCTCTCTCTCTCTCTCTTTCTTTCTCTCTCTCTCTCTTAATATTCTAAGTAAATGTTCTCAAGCAAGAACAACAAAATTGTCATCACCATCAACAAAAATCTGACCACCCACAACAACATCAACATCATTCTTATCGTCATCGTCATCATCATCTTTATCATAATCATTATCATCAACAACATCAACATACATTCATACACACACCCACACACACACACACACACACACACACACACACACACACACACACACACACATGCACACACACATGCACACACACAAACTTTCAAGCAAACAACATATGTTAAAATTCTTTTGCTTCCTTACTTGATGTATATCTGTTGTGATTTTGTTGCTGAGGCGTTGTTATTGTTACCATTGTTATTTGTATTAGTAGTAGTAGTAGCAGCAGCAGCAGCAGCAGCAGCAGCAGCAGTAGTAGTAGTAGTAGTAGTAGTAGTAGTAGTAGTAGTAGAACAACTTTTTTCATTTTTGCCATTTCACATAAGCGATAATTACAACATCTACTTCTGCCACTACTGATACTAAAGCTACTAAAGTTACTACTACTACTACTACTACTACTACTACTACTACTACTACTACCACTACCACTACTACTACTACCACCACTACTACTACCACTACTACTACTACTACCACTACTACTACTACTACTACTTTCATTGGAACGGTACTAATGCTAATAGTAACATTACTATCATCATAATTTATACGGCACATATTTCTAATAACAACTGTTCTTTTTGGCTCAATACATTATTTTTAGAAATATGGAAATATATATATATATATATATATATATATATATATATATAATATATATATACAAACATATATATATATACATATGTATATATATATATATATGTATATATATATACTTATATACATTCATCCAAGTATATATAGAAGGTTTATGCATTGAATCAACTTTATCTAGGTTAATGCTACTGACAGATGAATAGATTGATGGAAGTTTGGATGAATGAATGGATGGATGAATGGATGGATGGAGAAATAGATAAAAGGATGAGTGAGTGAGTGAGTGAGTGAGTGAGTGAATGAATGAATGAATGAATGAATGAATGAATGAATGAATGAATGAATGAATGAATGAATGAATGAATGAATGAATGAATGAATGAATGAATGAATGAATGAATGAATGAATGAATGAATGAATGAATGAATACTTATGTGAATGGTTGAACAAATGAATAAACAAATGCGCAATCGAACTTCATTAATTTTATTTTTGTTTATTATATCATTACAAACATCCATCTATTTATCAGCTTGTAGCTGACAAAACATAACAAAACGCACATCTCCAATTTGCCTAATCCCTATTTTTTGCCAAATTGCAACCGCAGACGCCGAAAACAACGACATCGTTACTACGGATGCAACACCTTTCGAAAATTGTGTTTACATGTCAGCAGATGCTGCAATGAGGGCGGAAGATGAGGATTCTATATAAAATTTGTCTTCCAATTATTTTCGTTAGCTCATTAGCCAATTAATTAATTAATTAATTAAGTCATTTATTCATTTATTCATTCATGCATTCATTCATAACTTTAAAAATATTTTTTATTTCAAACAGTCAACTAGTCTATTGCAGCAAAAAACTGAACAACACGAGGCTTCGGATTGACGGTGTTACTTGACAAGAAAATTATATGCATAAATGAATGAATGAATGAATGAGTGAATGAATGATTGATTTAATGAACGCGCATTACATATCCATATAATTTTCTTCAGTAACATCCTCGATCCATAAATATTTATGTATATATACATACATAATTTTCGTTTACAAACATGCATTTATAGGGTTATTACGTCAGAATTATTTATGTAATTGCTATTATTATTATTATTGTTGTTATTGTTGTTGTTATCATGATTTTATTAGCCCGTATCAATTAACACCATTAATTTCTACCTCTTGATTACCGCTTATGTAATTATTATTATTATTATTTTCATTCATAGATTTGATTTACCATCGTTCAACTTTGCGATTGCATAATTTTATTTTTTATGAGATTTTCGGTAATAATTTTTTGATTTGTTTCGGATGCTTGTTTATCTCTCTCTCTCTTTCTCTCTTTCTCTCTCTCTCTCTCTCTCTCTCTCTCTTTCTCTCTCTCTCTCTGTGTGTATGTAAGAATGTGTGTGTGAGTGAGTGTGTATGTATGTATGTCTGTGTGTGTGCGTGCGTGTGTATGGGTGTATTTTTTCTTGTATATATGCTAATGTTTGTGTATTTAATTTGTTTTTCGTCTGCTTGAAGAAAGATAAAATTATTTTCCTACTCAACATCGGCAGAACACGCGTTATCAGAAATATTATTTTTATTGCTATTATTTTCATTGTTGTTAAAATTACTACAATTCTTCTTATTATTATTATTATTTATATTGTTATTAGTATTGTCGTTGTTGTTGTTGTTATTGTTATCTATAGATGATATCTTTCCTTTCTTTTTGTTTTCTTTGCTCCTTGGTGTAAAATCACTAATGGTTAGTAATGTATGAATAAATAAATAAATGTTTGTTTGTTTGTTTGCATGTATATATGTGTCTGTTTGTATATATATATATATATATATATATATATATATATATTTATATGTTTGGGCACTGAATGTATTTTTTATCTAATCTTTATTCTAAAATGCCATAGTTTATTTATTTACAATGTTCATCTATGTGTGCATGTAAGTATGTACATAATATATATACATATTCATGTATGTATATATATATGTGTATATATATATATATATATTATTACACATGATGTATATAAGTATGATATATAATATATTTCCTATATTTAATGGGTTTTTACATGCAAATAATAATGAATTTGTACTATTTTTCTATACATATTTTTCGCATTTTTCTTACTAAATGTGTAATTGATTGAGTCATTAATGCAGTTTTTACTTACTCGTACGTTATATCATCATTCTAGTCTGTATGTTTTTGTGCTGTGTTAAGTATTTATATTTGTAATTTTTCGGTTTATATTTCAATTTTCTTTACGTTTCATCTCGTTAAAAGCGTTATGAATTTGAATTCACTTTTCGCAAGAGTTCACTTTTCACATTTTTTAAAAATATTCCATCAACAGTTTAAATTTTAGTAATCAGGGAACTTCTTTCAGCCTTTCTTCCTATTTTTTATTCTTTGTTTGTAGATTTTTAAATGAAGATATTGTTAAAATATTTCATTTTTTAATCTATTGAAAGATTTTAACTCAATTTCATAATTTCCGGAACAGTATATGTCTGTTCTAGTGTATCTCTCATCTTCGCTTATCGTCGCGAATCCTAATCAGTAATCAGTCATTGATTAGTGACTCTGGCCATGTAAAACAAACAAAATAGTTCTGGGCATCACTGTTACAAAAGTGATGGCCAATGGTGAATGTACACAATACACTGTAGGTAACTGTATGAACTGTATTGTTGATTTCTTCTGTTGTAGTGATGTTTTATTTCATGTATGACAACTCTAACTAAATGAATGTTTAGTGAATGAGCGCTTAATTTGATTGAATCTTTTGTAGTTTTCAACATCAAGAAATGTTTCAGTTTATATCTCATCAATATTTTATTTTATTATTTTTTATTACAGCAAGCTGTTTACCTGTGATAATGATATTAACATTGGGATTTTCACTCATTCATTCATTTTTAGAGTTTATATGCATATATACACACACACACACACACATATATATATGTATATACATATATATAATTTTTAATTCATTCATGTATGTATTGTATAAGGAGCAACAGACAGTTATAATTTTGATACATAGATATGTGATTCAGCCATTTTTTCATACATTTTTCTATATATTATTTTCTTCGACAGACATTTTTACTAATTGCTCTAATATTCTTTATTGAGTTTCTTTTCTATTTTTCTTTCGTTGAGAAAACTTTAATTTTACTATTTCAATTTATTAGATAATTACTGCATTAAAAGGTATTGAATGTTACACGTATGTGTGTGTGTGTGTGTTCTCTTCTATTTTCCCTCTTGTTTTACTTAGTAATATTTCTGTAACATCGTCAGGATTTTAAATATTTTTTTAAACCAAAGTTTCGATAAGAACATTTGAACAGCCTTCATCATCAATTGATTCTGTACAAGTTCTAACCACTGTACATACTAACATTATATACAAAGTATTTGAATTTTTCGACAAACATTATTTATATATTTAGCAGACTGAAAGAAATGGAGATATAGAAAGAAGGAAGAGAGTATCAAAGAGGGGGTAAATTGAAGAGAGATAGATTTAACTTTTTATTCGGTTGAAAAAAAAAACAAACAAAAATTGTTTTCTCAAGTTAAGATAAAAAATTTGTTGACGTTTGTTTGTTAGAAGAGTAATTTCGTTCAGTTGATTTGTTATTCATTCGTTCATTCATCCATTTTTATAATCCTTCCAATCATCATTCATTTACTTATCTATTAATCCATCCATCCATTCACCCATCCATCCATCTATCTATCCAATCACTCCTTCATTGCATTTTAAAATTTCAGAATCATATCTATCACCCCATCAAGTTTGTTTTATACTTTATCAAAAAAGTCCGTTACAGATTTTAAAAGTTTGAACTTGAATGATACGTTTAAGCTGAAGCATTTTTTAAAACTTTTCAACGTTTCGTGGACAGAACTTTATCTATTTAAATTCAAAAATAAATTTTGAATATATAAAAGCAATTTATTACCATTTATAGTATTATTAGTATTACATATTTAATATTACATATTTATTATTTTAAATTATGAATCGTTATATTTCTTTCTGGTATTATCAATTAATATTTAACATTACAGCCACGGCATATCAATTTTTATATTTATAGTGAAAATAATTATTTCTAGATCTCATTTGTTATTACATATAACGTAATTAAATGATTGTTCTCTTTAAGCGTCCAGTTCCTTTGTTCAATCATTCATTCATATCAACAAAGCTCAACCATCCATTCATTCATCCATCCATCCAATCAATCATTCATCCATCCATTCAATCAATCATTCATCAATCCACTTATTCATTCATCCATCCATAAAATGTCAAGAAATATAGCCTTTATATAAATACATTAATGATTAAAACAGAAAATATGAATATATATATATATATATATATACATATAGATGTATGTAAATACAAAAATACATAATATATATATATATATATATATATATATATATATATATATATATATATATATATATATATATATATGTTGGTAATAGACCATAATTTTTACAATATTCTATAAATTCTACCGAATGTGTGGCGATATATA